TTCAATTTTGTGTCTACTACAGCATTAAAATCTCCCAACATGCAAATATCATATTCCAATTCTACTATCTTCTCATGCAACTTTTTGTAAAATTCTTCTTGTTTTTCATTTGGTGCATAAATTGCTACTAGAAGCGTTTTCAAATTATTGTCCATTATTTCCACCATCAAGATTCTTCCTTCATCTGTATAGATTAATTTAGCCTTAATTGTATTCACTTAACTGTTAATTATATTCACTTAACCACTCCTCTTTTATTTTGTTAAGCCAATGAGGTATATAAATCACCAATTCTTGGATACTTCAGCATTTGGATATGTTGTTGTTTAATGTGGAGTTCTTGCAGGCAGACTATATCTAATTTTAATTTTTTGTGGAGTATCTTTTTCTTTTTGATGGGTGAGTTTAATCCATTTATATTAATTGAAATCAATTTCTTTTCTTCCATTGTTTATGCTTTATATATAGGATTTATTGCTCTCGTTGATCTTTGCTCTCTAGGTTCTCTAGGCTCCTCTCTTCCACCAATTGCTCCTTCTTCTTGTAATATTTCATCTCTTTTTTCTTTATCTCTTAACTCCACTATCTCCCTTTGGGATTTATCTGTCTCCTCCTCTCGTCTTCTCTCCTCTTCTTTCCCTCTAAAGAATTCATCATAGAAAAGTTCTGCCTTCTCGATTGAATCTAATCTATGCCGTTGTTCTCGCCAGATAAAGGTTAAGCCTTCTGGTACTAGCCATCATAGTTCATTTCTTTTTTAATTAATATTTTCATCAAGAATTGATATTCTCTTCTCAACTCTCTCACTTTCCTTGGTACTTGTTTCAGAACTATTATCTTTCCCTTTGTATCTCAATGGGTCATCTCTGACTCTCCAATATTTGCGTTTTAATTGCTTTCTTAGTGAACCTCACATGGACTTCTCTTGGTAATTTATTTCTCATAGCATATCTTGTGAATACTCAGAATACTTCATCTATACCATCCATCATTTTCTCTTCAGGTACCTCCAGGGCTCCTGCCAAGATTTCTGCCATTATTCCTGTTAAGTTTTCTCCCCTTCTTCAATATTCTGGAATCTCAAGTAGAATTCAGCTCTCTCGATCTCCCATTCCAGCATTCCTTTTTCCTTTTCCTGTTCCACCGTTGTCAATCTACTATTTCTCCAACTTTTTTATCAGTCTGGCCTCCATGTTGACTGGTCTTTGAAATCCATCAACCAATTCTTCTGACTTCAGGTTTAATTTCGCTGCTTGTTCTTCTTCTGTCTTCAACATTCTTAAGTCTTTCCCTCTTAGGGTGCTCTCTCTTAAAAAAAAAAAAAAAGAAAGAAATTTAAAAGTCTCACCAGAGCTGACACACTTTCCGTTCTTCTTCTCTTCCGTTCCGGAGCTGTCTCAACCTTTCAGCAGCTTTAATGGCTGCTTCCTTCCGCAGCCGGTTTGAAGGGCTTTGCCTGGATCAACCAGGGATTTTGCAATATCCCTGGGATCAGCAGGCTGCACTCTTCTTGTTCGCCATCTCTACGGGACGGTTTTGTTCCAAATGGAACCCCCAGCTACGGTGGTATTGGTGCCAGTTCTGGAACCCCAGAATCGCACGTCGTTTCGTCACAACATCAGCCCCTCCCCCAGGTGCACAGCATTTGAAAATCCTCTTCCTGCTTTTTCAACCTCAGCTGTGCCGCAAAAGCAGCTGAGGTTGAAAAAGCAGGAAATAAAGGACAGCCACACTAGGTACAAATAGTGGATTTCATTTTATTCAAATAACAACAAAGAGACCCCCTCTCCCCTTTCAGGTGGGGTAAAGCAAGGAGGGGGTTCTTGCTTAGTAACTCCCCTTTCCCATAAGAAGCAACATTTTATCTCTCTCTCCCTCTCTTTTTATCTCTGTCTTTCTCCCTCTTTTTCTTTCATCTCTTTCTCCCTCTCTTTTTCTCCCTCTTTCTTTCGTCTCTCTTTCTCCCTTTTTCTTTCATTTCCCTTTCTCCCACTCTCTCTTTCTCCCTTTCTCCCTCTCTTTCATCTCTTTCTTTCTCCCTTTTACATCTCCCCTTCTCCCTCCCTCTTTCTCCCTTTCTCCCCCCTCTCTCTGTCTCTCTCCCTTTCTCCCTTTTTCTTTCAACTCCCTTTCTCCCTGTTTCTCTTTCTCTCTCCCTTTCTCTCTCTGTCTCCCTTTATCCCCCCCCCTCTCTTTTTCTCCCTCTCTTTCTCCCTTTTTCCCAGTTCTCTGGCGACACGCACTGTTGCCTGTAGATGAACCGAGGGGAGGAGGAGGGCTGCCTCCTCGCTTTTCCCCTCAGTCGCAGGGCTAGCCAATCACCATGAGAATGTGGCTCCTGTATGTGGAGAAGAGGCGCCGAGAGACGAGGCGGGAGGGTAGAAGGGACTTTTGGAGGGTAAAGGGGATTAAATCGGAACCTTTCTCCCCGCTCAAGGGGAGCCACTTCAGGTGACTGTGGCTTTCTCTCCTGCTTAGAAATAGAAGTCCCGCTGATCAGGATTTTTTTGTTCTCTCGGAGCTAAGCTAAACAAAAGCTTTAAAGGAGACACGGGGGCGACCGGGCGGGCGTGGGTGGGGCCAAGCAGGGCAGGGGTGATTTTTATCCTGCAGTCTGCCTAGCAAACCCACATCGTGGCTGCTGCCTCCTGCCTCTGTGCATCGAGGAGGCCGAGCAGCTGCGGGAAGAGTGCAGAACTCCTGAGCTGCAGGAAGCGGCTGGCAGCGATGCCCGAAGATGCTGAAGATGTTGTGAAGGGGAGGCTCAACCCCCCCCCCCCCCCCCAGGAGCCATACCCCTCACCTAGAAAAATGAAATATCCTGGGAAATATTAAAAAGGCAGAATATTTCCCCTAAAAAGAGTAGAAACTCAGAAGCAGAAACTCACCTCAGAGAGGCAGAAACTTGCCCCCCTTCTCTTTTCACCTTGAAGCATGTGATCATCCTTTTCACTTTGGAGCTCCAAGTTATTCCTGTTCACCATTAAAACCATCTTTCCAAAAGCCTCCATGTTTCCAGTGTCTTTTTCCCCACTTGGAACTGAACCCATAAGGATAATCCAACAATTTGGCACCCCAGATGGGACTCCAAGCTAACCTAACCAATGGACCAGGGGCCCAGGTAAGATTCCCTTGCCGGCAAGCAGACCCGTTGAGTCTGTGGGTGATTTCCTAGACCTTGGCCCTTTGGAAAAAAAGTTTTAAGGGGGTTTTGAGTGTTGAGCTCAAAGGCTGCTTGGAAGGAAGGTGAGTACCTCTAAATTCTAAATTTAAAGCATGGGAAATGTGTGTATGCCTGCATGTGTGAGTAAGAGGGTCCTTCTCCCAAACACAACTGGATCTTGCTTCCTCTGTGCATTTCCTAACTGCAGAAAGACCAAGAGTCTGGAGAGCATGGGGGTTTTGCCAGAGCACAGGACCTTTTGTTAGGGAAAGAGGAAGAGTGTGTGAGTGAGTGGCTTCACCCTTGGACAGCAGCTGGATCTCATTTCTTTGTTTGGCCTCTAGCCGCCCTCTTGCCTGTTGCTAGCTCCACAGAGCCATGACCATGAGGACAGGAAAAGCAAGGGGGGGCATCAGATTGCGGGACCTTCTGTATATAAGAGGGAAAGCTGAGCGGGTTATGATTGAAGGGAGGGAAGAAATTTTTTGTTGGTTTTTTGTCCAGTGTATCCCAAAAGCCAACCCCAGGATTTTAGGTAATTATGAATTTAAGTAATTAGGAAGTTGAAGTAATAGGAGAGCCAGTACTTGTCTGCAGAAGAGCAGCAAGCCCTCCCGGATTTGAGTTCTACCAAATCCAAGAACCTGAGCTAGAAGAGGAGTGCCAGTACTTTCTGAGGGGGCAGAAAATTCTCCCTGTCTTTTTTGGGGAGAGGAAGTCTTTACAGAATGTTTTCCCCCAGTCCGAAAACCGTGGCTGGAGTGTTCCCTCAGAGGGGTGTGCACATACTTTGTAAAGGGAATCCAAAGTCTCCCCCAGGCACCTTTTTGTCTGAAACTGATAGCCGACTGACCCGACTAAGCCAAAGTGTGAAACCCCATATCGGAAGGGGAAACATGGGAAGCGACAGTTCGAGGGTCCTGAATGGAACCCCCCTGGGAGAGTTATTGGAGGCTTGGGATGAGCGGCAATGCCAACCCTAGCTGGGATGAAAAAAAGCAAAATGTATATGTAGAGAATGGGCTTTGCTGAGGGATACCAATGTGACTAAATAAAGGTACTTAAGAAAAAAATGAAAAGGGCAAGATATAAACAGGATCACATGGGATTTTTGTTTGTTTGTTTGTTTGTTTGTTTGTTTCTGTGTCTCTTTGTCTCCTATGCAACCACGTGGTTTGTTCCTTAAGATTTGTGTCTTCCTCAATTTAACAGAGATTTATTGTGGGAATGATCAGTGTGTGTGTAAACCTCAGAGTTTTGTTTTCCTCTCTTTGTCCTTGTTTGTGTGTGTGTGTGTGTGTGTCTAAGTCTTTGTGTGTCCTCGAGATAACTGTTGCAACTGTTAAGTGTCTCTGATCCCTTCAGATGTGAATTTTAAATTGTTTTAAAATTTTAAAAAGAGTTGGAAGCACGGAAGGGAAAAGAAAATGTCTTTGCCTAGTTTGGTCTGGCCAACTAAACTGGAAGAGGAACAGAGTTCAATTTTCTTTCCTCTCTGTGCTTTTAAGAAAAACCCAAGGTTATTAACGAATGTTTTAAGTTCATTTCCAAGAAAAGTTTCATCCTTGCATTTACTGTGTGTTGAAATGATTTTACCTGTTCATCCTTTTCCTGAAGCATGTGAATCCAGTTTTTTCCTTTCTCATCTGTTGTGTCTCCATTTTGTTGAAACTGATTTATCTGTTTAGTAAGTGCAATACTGATGTGTTGTTGTTTTTCTTTTCCTCAAACCCTGCCTGCAAGCTATTTACCCCCCCCCCCCCAAAAAAGTGTCTTATCCTGCAAACAAAGCCTTTCCTCGTAGAATTACCAGCAAAGGGGGGAGGGGACCCTTGTTCTTTGTCTTTCAGCCCTGCCACATGTGGAAACAGATGCTGCCCCCTAGAGGAGACATTCCATCCATTGGAGCCAAAGAATTGGGTCTGGATCCAGCTTCCACTGAAAGTCATTACAGCAACCAGAGTGGGGCAGACCTTCCCAAGCCTGACTGACCACCCATACCACCAGGCCAAGCCTATGCCACCCAGAGACATGAAGGAAAGGACCCTGAGATAGAACAGTAAAAGACTAAAAGAGTCTTTTCAATCCCCAGAAGACAGATTATGGGAGGAAGGTGGAAATTCATTGTAATTTGAAATTCATTGTTGTTAGGAATATAAGTCACCTAACAGCTATTTGGGTTGAAAATATATAAACCAGGATAGACATTTTAATACTGTATCTTTAAGAAAATGCAATATTTGTAATTGGGTGTAGTTTCTCAAACAGCCATAAGATGGATCCAAAAACCTGGGTTGTCTTAATCTCAGAAGAGAGTGTGTCTGAGTGAGTATCTGTTTCCTTCTGTTGGAGAACATTGCCGTTCCTTCTAATTGACTGATATTCCTGGATTTGATGTAAGTCTGATACTGAACTGTTTTTGACACTGGACTTTGTTACTGGATTATCCCTGGACTGAAAACTGACTGACTTACCTGTGAATGACTTTGGACTGCTTATTTTGAACTTTGCTAAAACGTTTATTGGAAGTAAAAACCTACATTTACTGTACAGTGTATCTGTGTGCTGTGTGTGTATTATTCAAACACTTCTCTCAATACGTCTCCCTGTATGCGCTCATTCTCCTAACGGGGAATTACCTCAACACTGGTTATGGGCCCAGGCCATACCAGGCTCAGATAACTGAGAGTTGGTGTGAATACACAGTACTGTATACAGACAGCTGTTTACTGTTTAATTGTGGGTTACTCTCCTGGTAAAGATGGCACAAGACACTTCAACAAGTCTATCACTGATAACCCGGTTGGATGGAACAAACTATGTTTCCTGGTCTATGAAGTGCAGTCTACTTCTGCGTAGAGAAGGTTTATGGAATGTAGTTCAAGACCCACCGGATGTATATGCTTGGGATCCAGAAAATGAGGACGATGCCAAGAAGCTTGCTGACTTTAAACAGAACAATGAACGAGCTCTTTGTATAATTGGACTAACACTGAGTGACCAGCAGCTACTCCATATTCGTGGAGAAGAGTCTGCTGCTAGGTGTTGGAAGAATTTGAAGAGGATTTATATGCGTGACAGTGTAGGTGCACACATACATCTTACACGTAAACTGTTTAGAGCACGTCTTCTGAAAGGTGGAGATATGTTAGCTCATTTGAACTTAATGAAAATAACTTTTCAAGAGCTACATGAAAAGGAACTGATATTTTCAGAGCTGCATCAAGTTTACATCATTCTTTCCTCATTGGATGAAAGTTATGATGATTACATATCTTCACTGGAAGTCCTGCCCAGAGATGAACTGACATTGACTGACATAACCGGAAGGTTGTTAGAAGAAGCAAGAAGACGGCTGGATAGTGACCAACTGAGGAAGGAACAACCACAAGAAGAGGATTTATCTTCAACTGCCAATACTGTTAGGAAATGTTTTTCTTGTGGGGCTAGGGGACATATAGCTAGATTCTGTAAGAAGGGAAAACAACAGAATACTGGCAATCACCAGAAGGCTAAGAAGAATGTTAGTTTAGCTATGTCTAGCAATTCAACTGTAAACCATGATTTGTGGGTTGTTGATAGTGGAGTATTGCAATGCATTACTAAAGATAGAAAAAGGTTTGTAAAGATGTCCACGAGTAAGGAACATGTATCATTGGCAAATGGATGGAAGATTAAAGCATCAGGTGAAGGTACTGCATATTGTTCTTGTATAAACGAACATTGAACTATGTTATATGTACCTAAACTGAAATTTAATTTGTTATCAGTAAGGGCTTTAGTTAATCTTGGTTATGTAGTAACCTTTAGGGGAGATAACTGGATAATAGAGAAAGAAGGTAAAAGTGTTACTGCTAATTTAGATAATGATTTATATGTGATACATGATGACCAATTGCAGATGGCAAACTCCGTTTATAACAATGTTAAGCCACATGATGAATGTATACATTTACTTTATAGACGTCTAGGGCACATTCATTTCAAAATGCTCAAACAAACTGTTAAATTGTCAGAGGGAGTAAAATTGAAACCCTGTAGCAAGTATTTAAACTGTAATGCTTGTAGCCAAGAGAAAACTAAGGCTACTCCTGCAAACAGACTAAATGGGTTTAAGACCAAAGAACCTTTAGAGGTTGTTTTTGCTGACATAAATGGTCCTAAGAAACCTAGTTTAGGAGGTGCCTGCTATATTTTGAGTATTATGGACCATTACTCACGGTATGGTTTCTGCTATCTTATGAAAAACAAAACAGAAACATTCCAACATTTCTTTAACTGGCTAAGGTTTGCAGAGAGAAAAATGAAAAGTAAAGTAATTACGTTAGTTACTGATAATGGGACTGAATTTATTAACAAAAGATTCCAAACTATGTTGAAATTGGCTGGTGTTGAGCATAAACGTTCTGCACCTTACAGACCACAACATAACTCATTTGTAGAATGAAGAGGGCAAACATTACAAGCCATGGCTCGCACTATGTTATCTGATTCAGGTTTTCCTGAAACACTGTGGGGTGAGGCCATAATGTGTAGCAATCATGTATTAAACAATGTAGTTAACACAACTGGAGAATTGCCATTCACTCGTTGGCATGTCAGAAAACCAAATTTAAGTTACCTACACACATTTGGAGCACCAGCATGGGTGCATATTCCCTCACAAGTAAGACTGAAAGGGCAACATAGAGCTAAGAAGTTATTTTTTGTGGGTTACAAGGCCAACCATAGATCATTTAGATTCTGGGATCAAGGCACAGCTCATGTTTATTGTAGTGCTAGTGCAAAATTTCTCGAGCACGTTGGGTGGGATAAACAGGAACAGGAATCCAGCAATGATATTATTATTGACACCCAAATAGTCCCTAATGATAAAATAAGTAAACCACAAATAGCCATTAAAGAGGAAGAACAGGAGGAAGTAGTAGAACAGGCACAGGAAGAAATAGAAGAATAGGAGCAGGTGGCACAAGAAAGTCCACCAGTAAGCCCTATATTACCAAGACGTTCAACCTGAGTTACACGACCACCTGATAGATATCAGGCTAGTGTTATATGCCAAGTGAATACAGTTCCAAGTAATTATAATGAACTGAAACTGTACCCTGCTAAGGATCAGGCTGCTTGGCAGAAAGCAATGGATAAGGAACTGGAATCATTAAAAAAGTTGGAGGTATATGAAAACATTAAGTTACCACCAGGTAAACATGCCATAGGATGTAAATGGGTGTATAAGCTAAAGGCAGGTGTAGAAGGGACTGTTACCCATAAAGCCAGGTTAGTAGCACAAGGGTTCAATCAGACAGTAAATGACTACGATGAGGTATTTGCACCTAGTCTGAAGGCTACTACATTAAGGGCAGCGTTAGTGTGGGCAGCTAAGGAGAAATACATTGTAAATCATTTAGATGTAGAGACAGCATATCTGCATGCACCGTTGCAACACACTATATATTTAAAGAAACCTTTAGGTCTCAAAAATGATAATACTGATAAAACAACTGATTGCTGGAAATTGAAAAAGAGTCTTTATGGTTTGAAGCAATCAGGATATGAGTGGAACCAATGTATGGTTAAAGAATTAACTAAGATAGGTTTTGTAGCTGGCATGGCTGACCCATGTTTGTTTAAAAAAGAAAGTAATGGTGTAATTTCATTATCGCTATTATTTACTGATGACATAGCATTAATCACCAAAACTGAACAAGAAGCTACTGAGATAATTTCACTATTGGAAAAGAAATTTAAGATAAAACAGTTAGGAGAAATCAAACAATATCTTGGTTTAAAGATAGATAAAACTAGGGGAGGATACAAAATCTCACAGGCAGATAAAATTAACCAATTACTAAAAAGTTTTAAAATGGAACTTTGTAAGCCAGCTAAAACACCAATGAACCAGGAGCTTAGCCATCGTGATGTTCAAAGTCCTATTTTTGATAAGAACATTTATCAGTCCTTGATTGGTAGTTTATCTTATCTCAGTAATTGGTCAAGGCCAGATATCGCATACCGTGTTAATCAATTAGTGAGATTTAACACTGAGCCAACTGAAAGGCAATGGCAAGCTGCTAAACATGTGTTAAGATATCTGAAACAAATAATGCACTATGCATTGTATTTGGAGCCTAAAGATGAACTGAATTTAACTGCATATGCTGATGCAAGTTTTGCTACAGACATAAATACACGAAAATCTACATTGGGTACTGTAGTATTATTGGGAAAAGCATTGATTGGATGGAGATCTATTAGACAGAAACATCTAAGTTTGTCAACAATGGAGGCTGAATTCTCATGTTTGTCTTTATTACGTACAGATTTAGTTTTGTATAAACAACTACTAATTGACATGGGAATTGATGTAACAGATTCTATTGTAGTTTACGAAGATAACCAATCAGCAATACAGATGGCTTCAAATATTGCTGTTAAAACAAGAACGAAACACACAGATTTAAGATATTTAAATGTGAGACAATGTGTACAAAGTAAAATGATTAAGCTAGAATACTGTATGTGAGAAAACAATATAGCGGATCATTTTACAAAGGCCCAAGGCTCTATAAAGCATAAGGCTTGCTGCAAGGATTATGGACTTAGAATGTAAGGTCTTACCCAAAAGGGGAGAATGTTAGGAATATAAGTCACCTAACAGCTATTTAGGTTGAAAATATATAAACCAGGATAGACATTTTAAAACTGTGTCTTTAAGAAAATGCAAACTTTGTAATTGGGTGTGGTTTCTCAAACGACCATAAGATGGAGCCAAAAACCTGGGTTGTCTTAATCTCAGAAGAGAGTGTGTCTGAGTGAGTATCTGTTTCCTTCTGTTGGAGAACATTGCCGTTCCTTCTAATTGACTGATATTCCTGGATTTGATGTAAGACTGATACTGAACTGTTTTTGACACTGGACTTTGTTACTGGATTATCCCTGGACTGAAAACTGACTGACTTACCTGTGAATGACTTTGGACTGCTTATTTTGAACTTTGCTTAAACCTTTCTGGAAGTAAAAACCTACATTTACTGTACAGTGTATCTGTGTGCTGTGTGTGTATTATTCAAACACTTCTCTCAATATGTCTCCCTGTATGCGCTCATTCTCCTAACGGGGAATTACCTCAACAATTGTAATGTGAAATCCATTGTAATGTTTTCTTTCTTGCATCATTTATATTGTAACCAGTTTAATGTACTCATGTAAGGATTTTATTTGGGAGTGGCTGGCCCAGCAAGTTCTGAACACCTTGGACTTTTGTCTGATGGGAGGGAAAATTGTCCAGCATGTTTGTATTGTCTGTATTGTAAAAGTAGCTGCATACACAAGCACACACACAGAGACACACCATTCAGAATTAGAGGTTATCCCTTTCACGTACCTCCACACAAAGCTGCTCCTAGCTTCTTTTTTGCTGCTCCTAGCTTCCCTTTTTTGTGTTTATTGTTTTTTTTTTTTTTTTGCTGGTTTAATGGCATTAAGGCCCAAGCAAAACTCCCTGCTAATACCATGGGGGAGGGGGCACCCCCCTCAGGCAATTCCCTCACTTGAAGAGATAGCAGAAAAGAGATCTCCAAACCCCAAGCCCTGACTGTGACTCACAAATGATGTTGCCCAGTAAAGCAGGATATGTTGCACTGGTGGTCTCATGAGTAGAAGTCCCAGGGCTCATTGTGTGTAATTTTAAAAATACTAAATAGCCTGGATTGCATACTGGCTAACCTCAATTTGGCCTCACAAACCCTGGAAGCCAAGAGCTAGGCAGGTAGCAGCCATAACCTTGGAAATGGGCAGCCTGTAATTTAAAGGCTGTGGAGAATGTAGGGGCTTGTGCTTACAACCTGACTGTAAGCTCATAAAAAAGTACATCAAACATCTGAAAATTAATTGGCATGAAAAATTGGATACAGCAAAAAAAAAAATCCAGAACTTTTCCCAGGCTGCTAGACCTTCATGGTTGAAAGCTTTTTGGGAGCCACTGAAGAAATCCTTTTCTGTTGCCTCTTTATCAATGTCTCCTCCTTTGCATCAAAAGAATTAAAAGCACCCATCAAATCTCCCTGATCTGATCACCTTTTAATCTTTTGTCAAAACATTCACCTGTTTTGAAAAAAAAAGAGGGATTGTAGGAAGTTAGCACCCACCCCTCTCCTAGAAAAATGAAATATCCTGGGAAATATTTAAAAAGGCAGAATATTTCCCCTAAAAAGAGTAGAAACTCAGAAGCAGAAACTGTTGTGGTTAGCCAGCAGCAGGTGTGGACAGCTGAGGAGAGCGAGAACTCAGATGATGGGCCAGGACCATTAGGGAGTGGACTGCAGCCTTCAGAGATTGTGGGGGCTGGCAGCAGCGATGGGAAGGTTCCCAAGGAGCCTGTGCCAAGTGCGCGTGCATGCAGGGCTGCTCGTAGGAAAGAGCAGCTGCAGCAGCATGGGCAACTCGGGAGTAAGGCTTCAAGGTAATGGCCCCTCCTTCAAGAATATAAAAGCCAGCTGTGAATCAGACGTTCTTTGTAGGAAGCAAAAATGTTTTTGAAACTCCAGCCTCGTGGACATTGCAGTATCTTAAGTTGGTATTTGAAGACACTTGTGTTGTAAAATACCTCAGAGAGGCAGAAACTCAGCCCCCCCCCCCCCAACCTTTGCTAATGGGCCATTAAGGCCTAGGCCAGAGTATTCTACATAATAAAGGCCTCTACCCATCTCACCACCTGGCCTGGGAAGATTGTATCATCCAACACTCAGGTGAAGCCATGTGGTCCAGACAAAGCCTACAAAGTTAGTTAAGACCCCTGCCCCTGGGAGTCTGACAGTCAATGGGATACATTTCTTGCATAGGAACAGGAAACACTAAGGTGGGGCCCAACAGAGGGTATATAAGGGTCTCTCAGCATCTTGCCCCCCCTTCTCTTTTCACTTTGAAGCATGTGATCACAGGGGTGGGATTCTACCAGTTCGCATCTATTCGCTAGAACCAGTTGTTAACTTTCTAAGCAGTTCGGAGAACCAGTTGTTAGAAGGAATTACTGGCCTAATCCTGTAAGGAAGGCAGGAAGGAAATATTCTGGTGTTGCTTACAGAAACTGCCTCTCTGTTAACCCTTATTCACATTCTTGGCAGCACTAGACTACCTGTCTCAGGAATGTCTCTGGAGGTTTTTTTCCCTCCTTTGCTGGTACTTTGCTTGTGTGGTGTGACCATTCAAAGTTACAATGGCATTGAAAAAAGTGACTTATGACCATTTTTCACATGACTGTTGCAGCATCCCCACAGTCATGAGAGGCCAGGCGAGGAGATGCGTGCCTCGATGTGAGTGATATTGAGTTGGCCACACCCAGCCAATAACATGACCACCAAGCCATGACCACCCAGTCACATGACCACCAAGCCACGCCCACCACCTAGGCCACACCCACAGAACCGGTTGTTAAAAATTTGAATCCCACCCCTGTGTGATCATCCCTTTCACTTTGGAGCTCCAGGCCATGTGGTCCTGTCCACCATTAAAACCATCTTTCCAAACAGCCTCCATGTTTCCAGTGTCTTTTTCCCCACTTGGAACTGAACCCAGAAGGATAATTCTTCCAACACTTCCATAGGTGAGACCCAACCCAGTAATTTCATATAGTGTTTTCTTTTTGTTTTTTTCCCATTTTTGTATTAGTGATTGCCTTATCTGATGTCTGTAAAAATATGAGTGTGTCTTTATTTCTTTTATCCCATAGGAAGGCATGCCACCCTGGTTGTAGATCATGACCTTCAATTGTTAAAATCCTTTTATGTTCCTCTTGTCTTCAAGGTGCTTCCTAACAAAGGATTTTTCGAAATGACCCTCAGAGCATTAGTATTTCCTATATTATTATTAACACGATCTGATGCTAAGGAGTTCTACTCCCCCTCCCCACATTAAAAGAAATCTCTTCCAAATGCAAAACATGAGCAGAGGAGAGGAGTTTCTGTTTCAGTTTTACTTTCACAGCAGCAAGCACTTTTACTACAGAACAGTTGAGCTAAGCCACACCCAGGCTCCTTGCTGTCTCCTTGCTCACACAGCAACTACTGCTTCAGTTTCCAAACAGCCCTCAACTCTCTCACACACTGACAGGACACTAGCAAGATGAATACCAATGGATGCTGGTAGGCAGAGGCAGATTCCCCCCCCCCCCCC